TGCTTAACTATTTTAGGCCACGCTTAAGTGGGTTGACACCGTGACCCTGAACTTTGAGGCGTTGGGTGTTGATGGAAATTCAACTCCAGGCTTTGATTTGTCGCCGTCGCCGCTCTCGCATTTCCTTCTGCAATTCCAAGCTTTGAGGTTGAGAGCGGAATTTTAGGCAATTCTTTACAATTTGGAGCAGAATTTTTAGCATTCTGCCCCTCTGCTGGAATTCCTGCCTGGAATTCTGTATCCAGCTGTGGGATCCAACATCAGGAGGATGTGGAGTTGCTGGAGCAGATCCAGAGGAGGTCATGAAGTCACTCCAAGGGCTGGAACCAAGCTGGGAGAGCTGGGAATGTCCAGCCTGGAGAAGGGAAGGATCCAGGGAGACCTCAGAGCCCCTTCCAGTGGCTGATGGGGCTCCAAAAGAGGGAATTTGGACAAGGGATGGAGGGAATGGTGGGCGCAAGGAATGGTTTCCCACTGCCAGAGGGATGGATGGGATATTGGGAAGGAATTCTTCTCTGTGAGAGTGAGAATTCCACTGGAATAGAATTCCCAGAGAAGCTGTGGCTTCCCTGTATCCCTGGAAGTTTCCAAGGTCACAAGAAAAACCCTGGGCCAGAACCCCTAAAACCCCGCAAAGATCCTGTTCTTTTTTGCGGGATTTTTGTGGAGTTTAATCGAGACATTTTCCCAAGCAACGTTCTCCCATCTTCAATCCAGCTGACAAATCCCGAATTCCCTGACATCCCTGTAATTAGCTGCAAACAGCTGACTTGGAGCCGGACAAAAACCTGCTAAATTTGCCGCGTTCTGTGCCGTTATTTCGAGTTATTCATCTCGAAGGACCGTCCTTCACCCCGGAAGCTCAAGGCGCCAAAAAAGATTCCACACTCCGGGAGAAGCAGGATCAGCACTCGGCAATTTCCTGCCTTTTTATCCTGGCTCTCCATCCACAGGATCCAAATCTCTCCCTCTTTGTTGCTCCTGAGCGCTGTGGGATGCATTTCCTGGAGGAATTTGGCTTCTCGGGAGGGATTTGAGTGCAAGGAGCCAAATTTTCCTGGGAAAAGAGCAGATTCCTGTTTATCCCACCCCCTCTGTTCCCACCGGGAATTACGAGGTGCTGCATCGTTTCCGTGACCTATTTGCATGCCCAAAGCTGTGGCTCGGTATTAGATTTTATGGGATTAGTGATTGTCCCTCATCTCGTTTTTATGGATAACTGGGATGAGGTTATGTCATTACCACCCCGCCTTTCCGTGTGGATGAAGAGAGGGATGTGGTAGGATCGTGGAATCATGGAATTTGGGTTGGAAGGGACGTAAAGGATCCTGGAATTCCAACCCCCAATCTTCCACTATCCCAAGTTGCTCCAAACTCGCCATGGACACTTCCAGGGATGGAGCAGCTGCAGATTCTCTGGATGTGGTAAGATCATGGAATCGTGGAATTTGGGTTGGAAGGGACGTAAAGGATCCTGGAATTCCAACCCCCAATCTTCCACTATCCCAAGTTGCTCCAAACTCGCCATGGACACTTCCAGGGATGGAGCAGCTGCAGATCCTCTGGGAATTCCATCCCAGCCCTCAAAGGGAAGACTTCCTTCCCAATATCCCCTCTATCCCTGTCCTCTGGCAGTGAGACGCCATTCCCTGTGTCCTGTCCCTCCATTCCTCATCCCAAGGCTTTCTCCAGCTCTCCGGGAGCCCCTTCAGGCACTGGAAGGGGCTCTGAGGTTTCTCTGGATCCTTCTCATCTGCAGGATGAGAAGGAATCCCATTCCATTCCATCCCATCCTATCCCAGTCTTTTTCCTCCTGCTTCCTCTCAGTGTTTTAGGAATGACCAAAAAGGAGCAAATTCCAGGTATTTTCTGTCCCCATTCCTTTTAGGCTTCTCCTTTTATTTATTTTTTCCATCTGTTTTTTGTGTCTCATGTTAAATTTCCATCCTGATTTTCCTGCTCTTTTTTCAGGATTCCTCTCCTCATCCCAAACCTCACTTTGGGAGCTGTCAAAACCCAGTGTAAAATTCCCTATTTTGGCAAATTGATGGAGAGAGTTTGGATTACAAATTCCAGGGAAAAATGTGGATCAGGGCCTTCCAAACCCTGTGGTGGTCTCTTAATGACTTTGTGGAATTCCCGCCTCTCCAGCGCCTCCCGTTTGGATTCTCTTAAATCATTAAAAAGAAATAAAAAGTAAAAAAAAAAAAGAATTAAAATAAAGAGAAGAGAGCAAGCTCTCCACGTTCCTGCCAAGTAGGTCAGGCTTTTCCCAGTTGGATGGTTTGGGAAGCGGAGACATTATTCGGAGTGACTTTTTCCAAGGTTTTTGTTTGATGAGTTGAAGACAACTGGAACCACAAAAGCAGTTGCAAGTGTTGCTCCAAGAGTGGAATTTCAGGGACAGTAAAACCATCCCAATTAATCAGGGGCCAGAATAAAATAAATATTGGTGAAATCCAGGAAAACAAATTACGCATTCCTGGGTTTTTCCATGGGGGGAAAAGCTGCAGGACCAGGACAACACGGCCTGAAAGAAGGGAAGATAAAAATGGGACAGAGATCCTCTGGGCATTTTAAGCTGTGGAAAAGCCACCGCAAGATTTCCCGGAGGAAAAGCTGGAATGGTTGAGCTGCTGCTGTTGGATTGGGGTTTTTTTAGGCCCAGAAATACAGCAAGGAAGGAATGTCTGGAGATGGAATCTCCAGGATGTGGAATATCAGTGTGGTGTCATCACCTCTGTCAGATGAGGTTGGGAAGATCCAACCTGGAGAAGGGAAGAGACCTTGGAGCTCCTTCCGGTGTCTGAAGGGCCTCCAGGAGAGCTGGAGAGGGATTTGGGATGGAGGGACAGGGAATAGGGAATGGCTGTTTGGGATAAGGGATTCTGGGAAGGAATTCTTCCCCGTGAGGGGGGTGAGGGGCTGGAATGGAATTCCCAGAGAATCTGTGGCTGCTCCATCCCTGGAAGTGTCCAAGACCAGGTTGGATGGAGCTTGGAGCAACCTGGGATCCTGGAAGTTGTCTCTGCTCACGGACACAAGAGGATCTTGAAGATCCCTTCCCACCCAAACCATTCCATGGTTCTGTGACCAAACTTAATCCAGGAGTCCAGATTAATAAATGGATTTATTAGTTTCTTAATTGCTCTGCTTTCTAGAGCAATTCTTCTGGAATTATGCATGGATAATCATGGAATGGTTTGGGTGGGAATGGACCTTAAAGCCCATCCAGTTCCACCCTTTTTCATGGGCAGGGACACCTTCCACTATTCCAGGTCGCTCCAAGCCCTGTCCAGCCTGGCTTTGGGCACTTCCAGGGATCCAGGGGCAGCCACAGCTTCTGTGGGAATTCCATTCCAGCCCCTCACCAAACACATTTTCCTTCTATCTCCTCAGAATCTTCCCTTTTTTAAGTGTAAATCCATAATTCTTGTATCTAATCCAGGCCCGTATCAACTCCCTGGAATTTCTCTGCCTGGAAGGAATAATAAATGGATTTATTAGTTTCTTAATTGCTCTGCTTTCTAGAGCAATTCTTCTGGAATTGTGCGTGGATAATCATGGAATGGTTTGGGTGGGAATGGACCTTAAAGCCCATCCAGTTCCACCCTTTTTCGTGGGCAGGGACACCTTCCACTATTCCAGGTCGCTCCAAGCCCTGTCCAGCCTGGCTTTGGGCACTTCCAGGGATCCAGGGGCAGCCACAGCTTCTGTGGGAATTCCATTCCAGCCCCTCACCAAACACATTTTCCTTCTATCTCCTCAGAATCTTCCCTTTTTTAAGTGTAAATCCATAATTCTTGTATCTAAGTATCTAATCCAGGCCCGTATCGACTCCCTGGAATTTCTCTGCCTGGAAGGAATAAAAAAAAAAAAGCCTCTTTCAGGAAATAATTCATTTATGCCACGGCTCCTTCCAGCTGAGAGAATCCTTAAACTCCCAATCCCTCCCCTGTCGTAATTTTAATTTCGTATTAAACCACTACGGATAAATTGTTGCTCAGAAAATTTTTAGGCAGAAAGACACATCGGGAAGAAAAATACTGAGCATTAAAAATGGATTACATGGTGTCACTTCTGGACTCCTTGCCTGAGCTATTAAATATTTAGGATTTTAATCCCAGATTTGATCTTGATTTCTCCACGGCTCTGAGGCTTTCCAGGTCTTTTCCAAACTGCTTTTTCCTGGGGAAAACGGGATTTTACCTTGCGTGGAGTCACCTTGTGGCTTGGCAGGGGAATCTTTGCTCGTAACAAGTCTTTTTTTCCCAGTTTTTTAAATTTTTGAGCCTCTTCTCTGTTGCCTTCCCCAGCCATCTGCTGCAGCTGTGAGTTCAGAACCAAAGTGCAGCAAGGTCAAATTTCCCTTTTTAATTTTTTCCCCCCCTTTTTTTTTTTTTTTTTCCTGAAAAAAGGGGGATCTGAGGTTGGTCTGGTCTTAAACATCAGGATTAGGGAATAACTCATGGGGTCACCTCCTGGTTGAAGTGGGAAGATTGGAAACTTTCAGAGGAGAAAAAAAAAAGGGAAGAACATGAGAAAACTTTTTTTCCTGAAAAAAAATTGATCTGAGGCTGGTCTGGTCTTAAACATCAGGATTAGGGAATAACTCATGGAGTCACCTCCTGGTTGAAGTGGGAAGATTGGAAACTTTCAGAGGAGAAAAAAAAGGGAAGAACATGAGAAAACCCTAAATAATACCACCAAAAAAAAAAAAAAATCAACCCCTTGTTTTCCATCTTCCAACTAATTAAACTCTTCTGAAAAAAAGCCGGGAAAAAAAAATCTTCTCTGTGGTTCCTTTCTGTTGCAAAATGCCGGGGGAGGCCGGATCGGGGAGGGCAGCGCCGTCACCCACACGGCTCCGGAGGGGAGGGCTCTCTGCCAGGCCCTCTGGAGACTCCGTCTCCTCGGGAAAGGCGTGCGGAGGCTCGCTCGCCGATTTGGGAATCGCCCCCCAAATTAGACCCTTCGGGGTGGATGCGGCGTCAACGGAGAGAGGAGGGAGAAGGTGACCCCGGAATGTCCTGAGGAGCCCCGGAGGGATGGTGGGAGATGGCAGATGAAGGAATGATGGGATCTCTCCGTGGAAGGAGGTGGGCGTCAGGCTCGGCGGCACCGGGAGCGGGTTTGGCGCGGTTGTTTTTGGCGGATTTTTGGGATTTTCTCCTGCTTCCCTGGGCTCGGAGAAAACTTGGGTAATAAAAGGTGGAAGGGTGGAATTGTTGAGTGGTTTGGGTTGGAAGGGAGTTAAAAACTCATTAAATTCCACCCCCCTGCCGCTTCCAACCTTCCAAAATCCCAGGTTGCTCCAAGCCTCATCCAAACTGGCCTTGGACACTTCCAGGGATGAATTCCCTGGGAATCCCATTCCAGGGCCTTCCCACTCTCCCAGGGAAGAATTTCCTCTCTCATTTCCCACTCAAACCCGTCTTCCTCGGCTTCACGCTGTCCCAAAAGCTCCTCGGTGCCACCCTGCAGGTGTGTGGGGCTGTAATTCCCAAACTTCCCTCTTTGAAGCTGGGATCAGCCTCAGGGAGAGCGGGAATGACGGAAGGAGGGAACATCCAGAGTCCCTTTTCCTGGGTAGGTGGAAAAGTTTTGACAGCTTTGCCTCCATCCTGAAATTCCTTCAGAGCGCAATTTTCCTGCTGGTTTTGGTGTTGATTATCCATTTTCCATGTTTTTTTCCCCTGGTGTTTCGATTAGGATCATGGTTCAGGGGAATTGGTGCTTAAAGCGAGACAGGAGAACGTCAAATATTCCCTCATATTTAATGATTCCCGTTAAACCTTCGCGCTCGCCTGGTCAGCTCCCAAATACCCCCTGGACTGACGGATTTTGGGAATGGTTAAGGATTACTGTGAGCAAAACACTCCCTGGAAAAGGGACAGCTTTATCCAAGCCCCTTTTCCATGCAGAACGAGGATGGAAAAGGGCTCGGAGAAACACTGGAGGCTCTGTTCCCATCCCGGCGGATGCGGTCAAGGGCCGCGATCCGTACGGAATTATCCTGGAGGCGACGGGGTCCTCTGGAAAAGGCTGCAAAACTCCAACAGCCCAGAGCTGCCCCAAGTCCTTTCATTGCTAAATCTGCTCTACCCTAATTTATGCTAATGAGGGGAGCTCTCATCCCGTCTCAGAGCTCTTCCATGGCGTGTGTCACCGTCTGGAATGCTCTGCTCGGGATTGGGAATGTTTTCCTGGTGAGCTGGGACCAGGGGAATGAGCTGCGGGGGATTTTTTTTTTTGTGTGTGCTCTTAATTTGAGAGCCGACGGCTTTTTTTTTGTGCTCTAATCAAGAGGGTTTTGATGCCGTAATTAAAAACGCGGAGTTAATGGGTGTTCCGCGGGATGTAAATTCGCCGGGAAAATCCGGAGTCGAGAGAACTTCGGAGACCAAAGCGCTTTTTGTCTATTGTAATTAGGGGTGTGGTGCTTAAGGAATATTAATTAGCCCCACGGGGGAGGTTGAGGAGCCAGAAAAATGCTGCCTCCGCCCCTAATTCCCAGTGGGAGTTCAGGAGCTGCCGGATGAGCCAAGCCTGGGAGACGGCAAGGAGCAGGGAGACTTGGGAAGGGAAGGGTATCCCCCATCCTCCTCCCTTAAAAACAAACAAACAAAGGGGATAAAACACAAACAAATCCAATTTCGGGAGCTGGGTGCGACTTTCTGTGGGAGCCGGGTTCGCCGAAGGAATTTAAATCCGCGGTTCCCCCGGGAATTGCGGTTGTCGGTTTCATTGGAATGGCAGATTTGGGATGATTTGTAGCTGGGGGAGCTGGAGAGGGACTTGGGGCAAAGGATGGAGGGACAGGACACAGGGAATGGCTTCCCACTGGGAAAGGGGAGATTTGGGTGGGATGTTGGAAAATGGGGGCAGACGGCCAAGTTTGGGTGAATTTTTTAAAAAGTTGGATAATTTACATCAAATAAATCATAGATTGGCCCAGGCTGGGACCTCAAAAGATCCAAGGTTTTATGGGAATGGAGCAACTGTAGGAAAAGCTCTTCAGACCAGAGTCTTGGAAATTAAAGAAACCAGAAATCTGAATAAAAGCTGATTTTTACGCCAATAAAAAGGGCAAACAGAAAGATCCAGGTGATGGTCCTGGCAATCTGGGGGTTTTTTTGGGAGGAAAAAAATTTTTGGATGGTTGGAAAATATTAATAAAGAGAGGAAAACTGGCTGGGAGAGTTGGGAATGCCGAGCCTGGAGAAGGGAAGCATCCAGGGAGACCTTGGAGCCTCTTCCAGTGCCTAAAGGGGCTCCAGGAGAGTGGAGAGAGATTTTGGACAAGAGATGGAAGGACAGGACACAGGGAATTATTTCCCATTTGCAGAGGAAAGGGATATTTTGGATATTGGGAAGGAATTCTTCTCTGTGTGGAACTGGGAATAGAATTCCCTTTTTTTTCCCCAAGCTTTCCATTAGCAACTTCTAAAAGGGAATAAATCCTTTCCTCGGAAAAGCTGTGGATATTTATCTTTTTACCTTAAAGCCAATCCAGGGAATTCCCAAATCCTACACTCTCTGAAAGGTCGGAATAAGAGATGAGTTTGTTGCTTGTCGCACCCGAGATCCTGGTTTTGGGGTTTTTTTCAAGGAAATACTCATTTCCTTGGCAGCTGCTCCCTGTTTTCCTCAGGGATTATCCCAGTTTTTCCTCCTGCACCGTCTATGGAGCCAGTGGGGAGCCATGGAAGGGGACAGGGGACAGGAGATGTCCTTGGTGTCACCACCGTGTCCTCCCTCCGCTTCCTACTTCCCATCCTGGATCCAAATCTGGCTCTGACATCTCCTTGATCTCGTAAGATTTCAGGAGGAAAACCTCAGGTTTGGGATTGAAACCTCAGGTTTGGGGTCAAAACTTCGGGTTTGGGGTCAAAACTTCGGGTTTAGGGTCAAAACCTCAGGTTTGGGATCCAAACCTCAGGTTTCAGGTTCAGAGGACCTGGACCACTTGGACTTGAGTTTATTTATGGAATTTCCACGTCCAGGGATGGTGATTCCCATTCCAGGGTCTTTCCATAAACACCTCCAAGGACGGTGATTCCCATTCCAGGGTCTTTCCATGAATACCTCCAGGGACGGTGATTCCAATTCCAAGGTTTTTCCACAAACACCTCCAGGGATGGTGATTCCATTTCCAAGGTTTTTCCACAAATACCTCCAGGGATGATGATCCCCATTCCAAGGTCTAATCCTGCTTTCTTTGAGGTAATTCCAGCCAATCTCCAGCCTTATCCAGGTTTAGGGCAGAGGTTGGATGTGTCCCTAAGGGATGTGGCAAAAATGGGGAAACCCTGGTGATGGGGCGGTCAGTGATTATCGGAAGCGTTTGGGAATGACTTGGCTTCGTGTTCCAATGGGGAAAATTGGTGGAAAACATGGAATCCCATGGAATCAAGGAGTTGCTGAGGTTGGAGACTGTTGGAGTTGTCTGTCTGTGCCTCAGGGTCCTCTGGAGCAGGGCTGTGTCCAGACACAATTAAATTATCCAGGAATACGTTGGAATGGGAAGAGCTCTTGGTCAGCCCCAAGACACGTCGCGATCCCTTAATTGGTCTGTTCTGAGGTCATTAGTGTGGCACTAACGAACCTAATCCCATTAACGAGGAGGGAAAAAAAAACCCAGGAATTGGTTCCGGGAAGTCACACCCAGGATTCCGCGTGTTCTCCCTATGAGGAGAGATCATGGGATCAGCCTTGGGATCATGGGAATAAATGATCCCACTGATCCCATCTGGGCTCCAAGTCCTGCACAACAACTTGGGCACTTCCAGGGACCCAGGGACAGCCACGGCTTCTGTGGGAATTCCATCCCAGCCCCTCACCACTCTCACAGCCAAGAATTTCTTCTCAATATCCCGCCCAAATTTCCACTTTTCCACCGGGAAGCCATTCCCTGTGTCCTGTCGTTCCATGCCTTGTCCCAAATCCCTCTCCAGTGACCTTGGAGCCTCTTCAGGCTCTGGAAGTGGCTCTGAGGTTTCCCTGGATCCTTCCCTTCTCCAGGCTGGACATTCCCAGCTCTCCCAGCCTGGCTCCAGAGCAGAGGGGCTCCAGCCCCGACCTCCTGCTCTGCCCATCCACCCCGTGGATAAAACATTGGGAAGAGAAGGATTTCCAGTGGAATTCCCTGGTCTGGGAATGGGATGAGGTTCCCACAGCGCCGGGGATTGGCAAGATGGAGAAATTCCAGGCCACCCTCTTTGTCCATAGGGGATGGGAGGGATGAGGCAGATTTTGGGGTTGATCCAGATTTGGGTGGGAGTTGCAACGGGATCAACAATTCCAGGTTTAAAAAAATTCCTTCTTCTTCTGTTTTTTTGGTTGTCTTGTTTTTTTGGGGTGATTTTTTGGGGATTTTTCTTTTTGGTTGGTTGGTTGTTTTTTTTTTTTTGCTCCAGTAGTGCAGCAAAAACTTCACCAAATCATGGAAATTCCATGGAAATTTCACAGAAATACTTAATCAAATGTTCAAACCCAAGGTTTTGGTTGGAAGGGAAAATCCCTATCTCGGGTTGCTCCAACCTGGCTTTGGACACTTCCAGGGATCCAGGGACAGCCACAGATTCTCTGGGAATTCCATCCCAGCCCCTCACCACCCTCCCAGCCAGGAGTTCTTTCCCAATATCCCATCTATCCCTGCCCTCTGGCAGTGGGAAGCCATTCCCTGTGTCCTGTCCCTCCATCCTTTGTCCCAAATCCTTCTCCAGCTCTTCTGGAGCTCCTTCAGGCTCTGGAAGGGGCTCCAAGGTTTCCCTGGATCCTTCTCTTCTCCAGGCTGGACATTCCCACCTTTCTCCAACCCTTGGAGCAATTCCATGGCCTCCTCTGGACCTTCTCCAACATCTCCACATCCTTCTCCTTTCCCACCCCAGAGCTGGATGCAGAATTCCAGGCGGGAATTCCAGCAGAGGGGCAGAATTCCTCCCTTTTCCCACTCTAAAACATTTTCCATCCCCATTTTGGCCACAGGAGAAACGGGATTGGATAAAATGGGATTGGGATCACCCCACCCCACCCCCCCTCTGCTTTCCAAGTATTTCCCTGCCTGACTCAACTCATAAACATCCAGGATTTATGA